TATATAGCCACGTCACGAGCATCATGCATCTGTTTTGAATCACGCGCACTTTCATTGCATTGTTTATTAATTTCGTTTCACCATAACAACGCAGCGATCGACATTGCATGCATAATATTTCTGCTGTAAGTGAAAGTGGAAACACGATTATAAATAATGAAATGGCCTGGACATTATGACTTCATCCGTTAAAATGGTGTAGATATGCTTTGAGCCAGTGGTGTGGCCCTGTCTGTGAATACTGAATATGAAAAGAGCATCAGATCTTTATTTGGGTAAAAATGATAGATAATTTATGTAAATCCGCAGGCCTTGCTTGGGACAATGCCTTTTGGTAAGATCCCAAAGAGAGACGATGGTTTAACTTTTTCCAGGGAGGTCTTTTGAGCCCATTTTTAAAAAGGACCAATGTATTCAAAGAGTGAATTTTATATCCCCACCCAAGGAATGAATAGATAAAAGAGAAAGAAATAAGATATTGTTTTTTTTTCTTCCCTGATCAATCACAGCAGAGCCAATGTCTATGTTGAATGTCATTATTCGGCTCGGTCGCTCGTCTCTTGTTACACATATATTATGTTTCTGTGCAGATGGTCTTCCCCATCCTAAAAAGCGCGCTACAGATGTTGCCTGCAGGGCCAATGCGCGCGAATCCCGAATCAGTTCTGTTCATTGTTTTCTTCATTATAGCACAGCGCGTTTATTTAAGCGGATTATTGGCACTTTTATTTCCAACAATTTCATCCCACCGTTCGACACATATCCTATAAGCTAACATGAACTACAATATCGCCGCAGAGTGTCCATGTAACATTTTAAAAAGGACTATTTATTATAGGCCTATACCTAGCTCATTTTATTCATCGATCATATTTCAAATGTCATTTACATTTTGAATTCTTAAATAATTAAATAATTAAAAACCCGCTATATATTACATTAAAGTTGCTGTGTCATTACACTTAATTCCTGTGTATTTAATATGCCTAATGACACAGCTGCTATACTATATATATTTATTTTAATGTGTCACTGCTACAGTATACATTTAACCATACTGAGTAATAATAATTAACTAGCCTACATGTACTGGTTAGGAATGGGGTTTGATTTTGGGTTTGTTACATGTAATTATGCATAATTTATAATTATTACAGTAACACGGATACTTTAAAATAAAGTGTTTATATAAAGTGTGTGTATATATATATATATATATATATATATATATATATATATATATATATATATATATATATATATAGGCTATTCATTAGCAGGTCATTTAGCAGGTCCTAATTTTTGCATTTAGCCTAAACGGTCAACATTAGCACTAATCGAAATGTTTTCGTCTCTCGCGATGGAAACCATCACTGCCACTACATGCGCACATGACAGCACACACATATAAAGTGCCTCTCCAAACACACCGAGCACATGACAGCACACACACACACACACACACACACAGGGCTGACCTGCACCCTGGCCTCCGACAGCCCGAGTCTCTGGCTCAGCTCCTCTCTCATGAACGCGTCCGGATAGTGTGTTTCGTCGAACAGTCTCTCCAGCTCATTCAGCTGCTCAAGGGTAAAGTTAGTCCGACTCCTTCTCTGCTTGATTTTAGTCTGTGTCTCATCCTCCAGCGGCTTACAATCCTCTTTGCGTTCTTTCATATCTGTGTTCCCTGAAAGCAGAAATGAACGCTTGATCCAGGGATGTGAAGTGAGGGCAGTATTTGCCCACTGATGTCGGTCACGGATGTTTTGTCCTACACACACAGCTCTTTAATTATTTACACACTATACATATGCATGGAGTTTCTCTCTCTGCACCGGATGCTTATGACAGGAATATTATCCGTTTGCTTGCGCGTTAAAATTAAAAACCTGGCAAAACGGGTTAGTGTTACGAAAATGAAATCAATAAAGACAACAATTAACGTCGCCTGCTGTCAAAATAATAGTTATAAAACAATAAATGTGGAAAACAACATGTTCACAATTATAGCTAAAGGAAAAATAATAACTAGGCTATACTTTAATCGAAATGATAGGATAATTCATATTATTATTTTATTATTATTATTATTATGTTATTGTGGCTGTATGTTCTACTGATATTATTTTAAGTTTCAGACTTGATGAATTATATTATTGTCTCATACAAAATGTGTATTGATTTATAATTTTTTACAGTCATTTCTTTTTCTGTTTAGCAGTAGGATATATTTAGCCTATACCTTTTTATCAGTCTAAATTGTTATCTAAAGAATAATCTGTGATTATTTCAAGCAACAAACAATATTCACAAACAATATTAGGCTAATTCAGGCCCGCATGCAGCGATACAGCGCTCGATTATATCACTTGAGAACTTTTGATTTATTCTCGGCACTTTTGTTTTTCCGATAATGACAGCGATGCCTGTCAAATTATTACGTGATTTTCATCCTTCGTGTAGTTTGGATTAAATCAGTGTGACTTTAAAATAAAAATAAAATAGGCTATCGAAAGCGAAATGGTAAACCATAAAATGCAGAGATAGGCCTATGAAAATTATGATTTTGCTGATGAATGTCACAGAAAGCAGCCTCACCGTCTGTAAGTTTGGGACTGCTCGAATCTCTGCTCCTCTCGGACGCGAGCATGTCCGCGTCTCTGGCCGGCGACGAGCGCACGGAGCTCCGCGTGATACTGTTCCCCTCCTCGCGCCCCGGCTCCACCGACAGGCTCTCCCTGTTCCTCCCCGACCCGGTCTCCAGCACCTCCCGGTACGTGATCACTTCCTTCTTTTCCTTCACTTTCTGATCAAACGACTTGGAGACAAACGCGGTAAGTTCTTCCATCACTGCACCCAAGAAGAAGAAGAAGAAAAAACACACTCTTCCCTTTAGATCCTCAGCAGTCTACCACATAAGACATCAACAGTGCTCTTTCTCTCTCTTTCTATCGGCCTGAATGCGAGATGATGCGAGGAGATCTTTCACAATTCCTCTTGTTGCGGACTGTACAGACTTGCTGCCGATTCACTATTGAAGTCACACTATTTATACTTAGCGAAGCGTCTCTGCCCCTTGATCCGCGCGCGTTACCTTCCCTCTCCACGAGCCCCTTCCTTCCCACAGGGGGGGTGGGGGGGACCTTATCTGTCCTTCAGATCCACATCACCCGTCCGTCCGTGCTTGCTATTGGCTAAGATTGACAAGAGGAGCAAATTAATGTCATTAAGCTGGACTGGTTGGAGTTTGGAAACACCAGGCGTGATGATGATGATGATGATGGTCTGAAACTACTGTAAAGGGCAAACCGTGGACATCTTATTCCGCAACTCTTTGATCTGAGCTGGAAGACGAGAAGAGCAAAGAGAAATATGCACTTTGTGATCATGGAAGTGACACACACATCGTTAAGAATTGCATTTTTGGCCCGCAGTGCTCTTAGAAGAGAAATCTCATCTCCTCTTCACAGAAAACAGCTGCAGGCTTTTTGCCGGATAATTATTTAAACAGTCTGTTTCATACAATTGATAATTAATGTAATGTTATTATGAATGAGAGTCGATCGTCTTGCATAATTAACGGCTTTTTTAGTGATAGGCTAGTTATGAATTTATTGATAAAATGAAGAACGAACACCTTGGATCGGAATCATTTAAAGAGAATCCAAATGTCCAATTTTAACAATTTACAAATAGCCTAAAGGCTTTTACTCCTGTCCTGCTCTCACATCAGCTTTATTAAATAGCCTCGTGGTCGAAGAGTTCTAAAAGTGCTGTTTTTACGCTTGTTGTTTATTCACAGTGTCGCACAGAATTAAAAAGATATTTAACCTATTAAAAAAACCCTTGTATTAATATGGACAGCTGTTTCTAATGGTGAATTGCAATTGTATTTTATGCTGCTTTATTGCTATTTAAATAAATACATTTTTGTAAAGTTTTTGCATATTTGCATAATAATTGTAGCCGTGTAAATAGGCTAATGTAGCTTTTTTTGGGGCATCAAGAGCGAATAATAATAATAAAAAAGTATGTTAAATAACGCGGTAGTAAATGAGATACAAAACAACACAGAATTGTCATCACCTCAGCTTTCCTAATAATTACCTTACACAAAAATATTTATCTTATAGGGTATATAGGCCTAGCTATATATAAAATTATTTCATATTTAAAACACTCTTCGAGCATGCACGCATTCGATAGGCTATTATTCAAAACACAGCAAAAAATAAATGACTTAAGCATTTCACCATATAGCCTACGTATAGGCTGTAGCCAAATAATAATAATAGGCAAATTTTCCTAAAATTATAATAGGCTACATTAGGCTAATTTCTTTTTTTTTTAAATAGCCTAAACTAGCCTAAATGTTAAGTAGCGTCCTAATTTAGTGTGTTTGTGCAGTTCTAAAAGCGTGCAGATTTGAGATTAATCGTACATTATTGTAATCTGTTGGTTTACAGATTGAGTGAACACATAACCTGCAATATTTTAATGATTAGGCTAATCTCAAATCTTTAATTTGTTGTGAGCGTTTGTTTCTTCAAAAAGGGACTGAACTAGCTATTTAAATAGCTATTCAGTTTGACTTTATTTTAAAAGCATTTTGTGTAGATAGTCGAGCTTTTACATTCAACATTTGAGACAAACCATCTTTACCTCCACCAATGATTTTTTTCTTGTATAATTTGTCTGTCTATGTCCAAATATTAGCCAAAATATTTACCTGATCACAAAATTTACGGTCTTTTTTCCTTTTTTTAAACAAAACATTTCACTCATCCTGCAATTTCTCAACAAACACAATTAAAAATAGGTCTTGTGACCGTGTATCTTATGACTACCTTGTCGCTGAGAAAAAAAAATGTTATAAGCTATTACCTTGTTTTTTACATGGTTTTATACAGTCTATTACGCTTATCTTGCGCTTCCCTGACAAGAGGGTGAAAGCAACTGACGAGCGTGTTTGATTTGTAATGCCTGCCGGCTGCGCGCGCATCGATGATCTCAGGATCGCTTACTTTAGTCTGTTCATCGGCTCATGGCGCTGCTCTGTCAGTTGCTGTTGTGACACAATAGGAGTGTGTGTCGTTGCCTAGGTAAGAGTATGAATATAGATATAAACATCAGTTATTTGACATATAAACGTAAAAATATATTATCAGACGCGCTATTTGTGTGTTGTATAACGTGTGTTAGAGAAAGCGCCGGGAAATGTGAAAGAAATGGAGCTAGTAGTAAGACTGACAACATTCGGCATTGAAGTGTTTATCATGTAACGTTACTCAGACTTGAAAAGGGACGCGATTTTCATATTTGCACATTCGCTCCTATAAAACCATACCTGGCAGCGTTTCTAACGCTAGTTTCGTCTAGGTTTAAGGTTATGTTTGGGTATTAGCACAGCCTTAGACCTTTTGAACGCTAGCAAATACGTTTTTAACACATTTCTCGCCTTGGGACATACCGACAGTCAATGCAGACAAACAATCACGTGTTTTATGTTTTACCGCTTTTCTCAGCTCATATGACTACTTCAAAGAAATGCTAAATTTTTAGTGTTAGATTAAATGAGTGTAACTTGCATTTTAATTCAGAATGGGGTCTTTACAGCTCTGTAAACTTAGTACATTTAAGTTTCATCCTTGTGCTTGAGCTACTGAATCACAGTTACGGAATGTAGTAGTGGGGAAAAAAAAAACACAATTTTTGATATCTGAACATCTGATAAACATTTTTGTGTCCTACCATCATCAACACAATTGTCCTCTCCATCTCCCCGTTTGACCCAGTGACCGGAGTGAACATGGGCCGCCACTCCTCAGACAGCGAGGACAACAGTCGAAGCCGGAGGAAGAGGAGAACGAAACAGCGCTCTTCCTCCTCCAGCTCCACTGAAAGCAGAGTGACCAGCCGCAGCAAACACTCCCGGAGACGCACTCGCTCCAGAGACCGAAACAGAGTCACAGACAGGAGGTAGACAATGAAGAATGAGATAAAAAGTTTCTCCCTGTAATCTTTCATCAAAATGTAATAACTCGTTCTTCCTCTGAAACAAATTTCTCATTCGGCTGACATATTGCTCACCCCGGACCAAGCTCCTGTCATATACAGTTTCTAAAAGCCTATACCTGGAAAGAGTCATTCCATTAGCATCCCCGTTTATGTCAATGGCAGTTGCTCGGCTGGCACACTCATCCCGGGAAAAGTGCACGTGTGACTGATCGCTCGGAAACTGCAGCGTTGATCGGCTTGTGTGACCATGAGCTTTTAGCGGTATTTTAAACTACGTGCACGAGGTGAACAACAGCACAGAATTGCCTCAGTTTAGGGATCAACACCTGATTCTGTTATTGCGCTCATACTGAGCACGAGTCCCAAACAAACAGACACGTGCAGTTTCTTGAACCCAGACGTTGCTTTATGCAGTCACTTAGCACTGTCTGCCTGAGCTCAATTATTCATGACGCTTGCTCTTCTGCCATTATGTACGTGATGGGAAAGCGCTGCTCTCACTGAAAGAAGGATGTCTGTGGAGGTCAAGGCGCTCAATAGAGTGCTGTTGATCAGCCATGGTTCGCATTATCCACACACACATCTGTAAATCTGTCGCGCTCTTTTTAAGTGGCCTGATCTTTATGCAGACGTTCATGTCCTCATTAAGCTCACCTGAAGAGTGTGAACTGCTTCAGCATCGCTCCGTTTGTGATCGGCGAGTATCTGTTAGTTTGACCAATGGCAGTGTGTGTGCGAGTTCTGGTTGCACAACTCTCTTACATTTCTTTTGGTCGGACTGTACACACTATGTGGTTGTATTTCATATGGGCCTGAAAACCTTTTAGAGACTCTAAAAAAATGAATATGACGTACCCTCATTTGGAAAAAGTATTCTACACCTCTTTCCTATTTTAAACACATTTTCAAGGTAAAACCCAAACATCGTGAATTATTAATGCAGTTTTTGAAGGGTCGTCACCACTTTTTACAGTTTGATCTAAACTTGCCTTATATAAACAGTGAAGAAGTTGTTCAAATATTTTTAATAAGATATATAATAATGTTTTCTGTTCAAGTATTTCATTTCTAATGAGACTTTTTGTCTTCATTATGATGTCGGGAATTTTAATAAAAAATGAAACCATGCTAATCAAACAAAAGGTGTGTTGAAGTCATTGTATGCGTGGTTTGCTTTGTGAATAAATGAATAGGTTCTGTGGACGTTGACCCACCTGTGTTGTGACTGAGGGTTATGCATTTCCCGCTCTCTAAAGCAGCACAAACGTCCTCAAACGCCGAAACAATCACGGAGAGAGACGGCCTGATGCCTTATCCGGGTACCATCCCATGCAGAAATGCATAATAAATCTAATTATGGTTTTTAGATAAACATTTTATTTATTCATGATGTGGGGAATGGGCTCGCGCTTTTGATTTAGCTTTTGAAAGTGCCTCTAAGAAGTCCTGGTCTATCAGCTGGAGTAGAGAAGAGGGAAGTTGACACAAGCTCATTGAAGGGAAGGAGGAGAGAGAAATAGAGTTCATTAGTTGAGGATGTCAGCCTTTCTGAACTGTGCAGAGAGTCATACTGAAGCTCAAGACTTTAAACTCTGCTGGGATTATCTGTTTGTCCAAGCAATGGTGGGTGGGCCAGTGTTCATGCAACATATTTCAAAACTAAACTCTTGAGGAATCTTCTACTGACACCTGACTGTCATGAAAAACGATGTGTGTGTGTGTCTGATGGACTCCTGTTACTGGTGTTTCAGGCGCAGAAAGCGCTCCAACAGCAGCTCTTCCAGAGGGTCCGTTCACAGGAGGCGGAGCCGAAGCGCAGATAAGGGGCGGAGCCACAGGTCTCGCAGATCTCAGTCCCGCAGTCGAAACAGGAGGTAAGGACGAGCAAACTGATTCATAGAAATAGTTATGGTAATAATGCTGGTGGAATGAATGTGAGCCGGCGACTTCAGGCTGTTATATATACTGGGGAAACTCTAATTTATATACACTCATTACATACACCTTTATTTGGTATAATTTTGATGATTATGGTTTCAAAATTAGAATATTGTGAAAGGTATTCACAGCTGTAAGCCATAATCATCAAAATGATGACAAATAAAGGCTTGAAATATCTCACTTTGCATGTAATGAGTCTATATAATATATCAGTTTCACATATTTTAAGTTCAATTACTGAAATAAATGAACTTTTGCAGGATATTCTTTTGCAGTTTCACCTAAATATACACGTCAATCATGCAAAGCAGGGTAGTGGCTGAGGCAAGAATTACAAGTGTTACACCTCATTCTGCACTGTTTGTGCTGCGCATGTGAATCATATTTATGATTTTCAACCGGTGGATGATTAAAAACAGGCCAAAAATTTCAAGGAGTAGTTCACTTTAAAAAGAAAACAAAAAACTTTTGCTGATAATTTACTCACCCCCATGTCATCCAAGATGTCCATGTCTTTCTTTCTTCAGTCGAAAAGAAATGAAGGTTTTTGATGAAAACATTCCAGGATTTTCTCCATATAATGGACTTCAATGGGAACCAAATGGTTCAAGGTCCAAAAGACAGTTTCAGTTTCAAAGGGCTTTAAACGATTCCAGACGATGAATAAGGGTCTTATCAAGCGAAACGATCCCTCATTTAAAAACAAAAAAAGTTTAAGTTTTATAAGCTCAAATGCTCGCCTTGCTCTGTTCTGTGATGAGCGTTTGTGACTCTCCTATTCGAACTCGTTCATCAAAATGAATGAATCTTTTTCTGAGTCAACTCATTCATTTCGTCCGTTGAATGAACCTGGACACGAAAAAAGATTCGTTCATTTTGATGAACGAGTTTGAACAGGGGAGTCACGAACGCACATCGCAGTACAGAGCAAGGTGACCATTTGAGCTTATAAAACTTAAACTTTTGTATTTTATTTTTTTAAATGAGCGATCGTTTCGATTGATAAGACCCTTATTCATCGTCTGGTGTCGTTTAAAGCCTTTGAAGATGCACTGAAACTCTCATTTGGACCTTGAACCGTTTGGTTCCCATTGAAGTCCATTATATGGTGAAAATCCTGGAATGTTTTCATCCAAAAACTTAATTTCTTTTCGACTGAAGAAAGAAAGACATGGACATCTTGGATGACATGGGGGTGAGTAAATTATCAGCAAACGTTTTTTTTTTTTTAAAGTGAACTACTCATTTAAATATCTACCAGAATCTTATATTTAAAAAAAAAAAATATATATATCACTTTATCAGCTAATATCTAAACCCGTTGGCCACATATTCTTCATCATCATCTTGATCAGCAGCAGCAACAGTGATTTTCCCTCCTCCTCCTCCTCCTCCTCCTCCTCATTGGGGCTCAAATGGTAACATGTGCTTGGCTAATTAGCGTATGACAGGTTGCCATTAAAGACCTTCTGTTCGCAGAGCCACTCACTCTCACAGCTGCTTGTCCTGTGCACACAGATACTCACACTCATTACAGGGGTTATTAGTGTAGATTATTATTGTTTTTGTCTGTATTAATTAAGCACTGGCACAAGCACCCTTGGGTCAGTCCACGTTTGCCTGCCCTTGTGCCTGTTTGGAGCTTGGAAGAAAAAGGGGGCACTTAGGTTGATGAATTAATGCAATTAAAACCTAATTATCCATCAGCCGTTTATTTCATTTTTTATTTAAAATAAGCTCTCATGCACATCCACACTCACAGGAATAAGAACTGTAGGCTTTTTGTTTTTAAAGGTAGGCTGTTTCATTAACATTGCAAATGTGTGTAAATGAAGGAGTGTTTTGTGAAACGCTTTAGAAGTGTAAAGATGGCTTTCATAATACATCGAGGAGGCTAAAGCCTTTGTTTACTTGTGCTTGGCTGTAAGAGATGCTGGAATCATTTAAATAAGTCTGGAAATTATTCATATCTTAATTAGACTGACACAGATAAACAGGGATTATAGCGTCTTGTCCACACTTTATTAAAGGCATTGTTGGTTGCAGTTTAATCCAGTTTTTACGTCAACTCTTACCCTGTGGGAATGAGATTATTCGATTAGTTAACTATCGAAAATATTAGCTATTATTGTTTGCACATCTGGGCTGATCACTCTTAGGTTATGCTAGTTCTTGGCCACGACCGTCGCACCCTTGACTTCCTCCTGGAGGATTGGCCCTGTAATAAACTGACCGGGATAAAAGCAATTTTTTTTAAGTTTAGGTGACGAAGAAACGTGAAAGCTTTTTCACAGCGTTTGGCATCCGAGTGTGAATGATGTCAGAGTTTGGTTTGTTTAGTTTGTGTGAAAGCTGTTTTCTGAACTTGCAGTGGAAACCAAGTAGTTGAGCCAGTGTCATAACAGCCTAAAATGTAATAGATTTATTAGTGTCTCAGATTTCTTTTCAACGCAAGCTATGTGACCATACTGTTCACTGTTAACCATTGAGGTCATGTTTGGCATGAAGCAGTTTAAGAGTTAGAAAACAGACTGAAAAGCAACAAGGAACATATTTAAAATAATCTGTATGTTTCAGAATGAGAAATGAAATCAAATATAGAAAATGTTATGTATTCACATGTTATACATTGGATACTATAGGCTTTATAGGTTTTCTAATGTGACAACATTTTCATTCAGCATCTCTATAGACCTTATGTAGCCCCGCCCCTTTGACTTTCGGTCTGTATTTTCACAGCGATCTTGCACAGGTATAAAAAATTTCCGGTCGACATTTGTTAAGACATCTGCTTTACAATGCTTATGATAAACATTACAATGCTCATGATAACTTTTGTTATAACTCTACAATAAGTAAATCCACTTCACCAGCTAATTACTCCTCGACAGCGATGCCATAGAAATATACAGAGCAGAAGTTCAAAGACAATAATCTAAAGATGACGGCGCCCACGTTTCTCTTGTGCATAAGGTCTATAGGGATAGTTCACCCATAAATGGAAATCCTCGTTTACTCATAACCTGTATGAGTTTCTTTGGGCTGTGAAACGATTAATCTCGATTAATCACATCCAGAATAAAAGTTTGTGTTTACATAATATATGTGTGTGTAGTGTGTATAATTATTTTGTATACTGTATATAAATACACACATATGCATGTATATATTTAAGAACATTTTTCATGTATATACATAAATATAAATAATATTTGATATATTAACAACACATTTTTCTTAACCCTAAAACTGTATTCTGGACAAATGTGGGCAAAATAGTTTTGATTTATTTTTGAAAAATACTTCCCTTGATCTGAGCGCTACAAGACTTGGCTACTTCTCCTAAGTTTGCGCCCTGAACACACACATTTTTTTTTTGACTCACTTTTACAATGTTAAGTAGGTGAAAAAAACAACAACTCAAAAATGGGAAAAACTGTAATTTAGAGCATTGTAAAATAAGCCAAAATAAGACACCAGGTGACAGCAAAATCACTTCATCTTTAGGTTTTAGCTCTAAGAACTTATTGGAATGATATTTTAATGTAGTTAAAAAAATAAAACATAAAAATAAGCATAATTTACATAGAAAATATGGTACTTTTTGAAGTAAATAAACCCCCCCCCCCTCAAAAAAAAAAAAAACACCATAAAACTTTATCGAAGACAGTGATATATCATTTATAATAAATAAAAATTAGGATCACACCTGAGTCCTCTGTTCCCACATTTGTCCACAATTACAGGATTAAGGGCTATAAAGTGAATACGGTTTGAGGGCTACATATACTGTATATATGCATGTTTGTGTATTTATATATACAAAATAATTATACATACTACACACACATACATTATGCAAACACAAACTTTTATTTTAGATGCGATTAATCGTTTCACAGCCCACAAAATAATATCCAACAACTCAATTGACTTCCATAGTATGGAAAAAAATACTATGGAAGTCAATGGGGCCCATCAACTGTTACAGACATTCTTCAAAATTACTTATTTTATGTCTAACAGAAGAAAAAAACTCATACAGGTTATCAACAACTTGAGTGTGAGTAAATGATGACAGCATTTTTTGGTGAACTATCGCTTTAAAGTTTGTCTTAAAACAAATGCATCTAATAGTCAGTTAAGTATGTACTGTAGCAAACAACGTTTAAATGACTAAATTGGAAGACGATCACGTGTTGTTGTGTTTTACAACCCTAATGAGAGCACAAAAGCAGATTTTGAATGAATATCTAGCTGTATTACAAGTGACTTGAACAGGTTAAATGAAAGCCCTTTCGTTAGTAAGCGTGTTAAGCCATATTAGTTTTCACTATTATTATTTATTTTGAGCCGTGTTATTGCATTTTATTTATCCCAGGTTCACCCTAATCGGTGGAAACTGACGGAACGTGCCTCAAGCGTGCGGTGGGCTAGACAGAGTGAAACGGGTTACCTGGGTCAGGCCAGCGATCTGTCACTGTCGCGTTAAAAAGGTTTGGGTCTAATAATGGCGTTTGGGATGAGGCAGACTGATAAATCAGGTGTGAATTGAGTGGACAGCTCTCTTTGATTGATACACTGACAGGATATGAGCAAGTGCCATACCAGATAGAGAATATGAGAACGGGAAAGAAAAGAAAAGGATAGAGCCTACCGAAAAAAAAAAATAAGATCCAAGGAGTGGAGGATATTATTCTGAGAATGAGAACAATAACTGCGGCATGGAAATATTGCAGGAAAGAAGATTAGGGCAGTTCAGTTGGGCATATTACACTCCTTGGCCGCCATAAAAAAATAAACAAGAAATGCATAAAGTTAGAAACGTGTGGATTCTGGTGTGCGGTTCAGTGTTCGCCACCCCGCTCTGCAGTCAGAAAATAAGATGAACCGAGCGGGTACCCATAGAGACTCGGTCTTTCCCCCTTGACAT